TTAACTTTTAAAGAGAAAAAGGATAGAGACTTTTGGCCAATAAAAATAATATTTAAATTCCTCCTTTTTCCTAAATGCAATTTTTCTATTCGGAACATGCCCTGGAAAAAAGGTGAGAATATTTAATTTTTAGAAAATATTGATGGTGACTATAATTAAAAAATTTAAACGGTAATTATTTTACAATTAGAAATAATAACCGTAAGTTAATTTAATATAAAAGTATCATTTCTCTGCCATCATTAAAAAAAGAACACCCTGTAGAATATTGCGTCAAACCAAACGCCGCGCGGGGTATCTGCCGTTAGGGACTTTTGATTGTTTCTAGTGTCTTTCTAATGCTGAAATAGAATAAGTTGTTGGTAAAGTAGATATTACTTTAATATCACTTTACCATTTGCATTTAATTAAATTACAAGTTTTATTGTTTAATTAGTCTTATTAATAGATGTAATTAATATTTTTACGTTCTTTTAACAATATACACTATTTTTTCCTTTATTTACACCGTTTTCATAAGTAATTATGAAAAATAACCTTGCTATAAAATCACAATGACATTTTTGCACATTTTAGTTAATTATTAATTATTCAAAGCTTTCTTTATAAAAATATTTGCATAATTTCATTCTCCAAATGTTCCTTTTCAATTTCCAATCGTTTTTTTCATCAAATTCTGTCTTTTAACAGAATTATAAAGCAATTTACCAAATGTCTCCCAAATGTATCCCAAATGTATACCCACGTGGGGAGACATTTGGTAAAACGATTTCGCAAGGGTATTCATTTTTTTCAATGTTAATTGATATGCGATTGTCTTTTCTCCGTAAAAAATGACAAACGTGAGAAGGAAAATGTCAAACTCTTAATTTAATAAAAAATAATGTTTAAAAGTAGATTTAAGACACAAATTGATCGGATATCCGTTGGCCTAGATGTAAAACAACATTTCTCTTAATGTTGGTTATATTTATTTAGTATTATATACATTTAAGAATTTATCACTCGGTAAATGAATAGAGGATGAGATTTTATCAATCTTTCCGAGTCAGGTAGTGTAATAATAAATTAACACATATTCCATCCTCTATTTATTTAGTATTTTTTAAGCAAGTCAGTGGGAATTAATACATGTACCGTACTAATTGAAGTTGGCTGGTTCCACATGTCCTTAGAAAATCTTTTGTTTTTATTTATATAAAAATAAGAATTTTTTACTGAAATTAACTATAATAATCTTCGTATCCGGATTTCCAGTTCTCTGTCCACACCTGAAGTTACATAGTCGTAGGTGCATTCTTTTGTTTTATTTCTAGGTTTGACATTTCTTTTGTATTCATTTTGCACAATATATTATCGAGGTTATTAAAAATTAAAATTTATCGCAAGAATTCAAATACTTTAAAAAGTAATAAAATACTTTGCAGAAATGAAATTATTTACAAATTTTTTAAAAAATTTCTACAATTAAATTATCTTTATAAATACATAACGAAATTCTTCTAAGGTATTAAATTATTTTCAAAAATTTTAATACAATTATTTAAAAAGTATTAAATTATTTTCAAATATTGTTATAAAATTCTTTGATGTCATCAATTTCAGTAAAATTTTAATTGAATTCCTTAAAAGAAATTAATTTTTTTCAAAATAAAGTTCTTCGTCAAAATTAAATTTTAAGAAACATTCAATTATTGAACAATTTATTTATTTTTGTAATTAAACAATTGAATTCTTGTAAAATTTTCTAATAAAAATTTATTTAAAAATAAATTTCTTTTAAAATTTCAGATAATAATAATTTAAGATTAAAACCATTATAGCATAAATTTATAGAAATAATTGAATTTTGAAAATGTTAGCAAATTAAAATCTTTGAAAATTGAAATTTTTCCTCCTTTTAACTAATAATTAATTTAAAGAAGAACTATAGTTAAACATTCTTTAAAATCATTCTAGAAAATAATAATGGAATTCAAATAATAAAAATGATTTAGAAAAAATTAGAGTAACAATATTCTTATATAAAATAATAATTTTATCCCTAGGTTATCTTTAATTCATAAAAAAAAATAAATTGATCACTCCGAGTCAAAGACTTCTTCATATTTAAAATAATATTCTTATAAGTTTTTAAATTTCAAATTTTTTTTTAAAATCTTAATTCCTACAGAAAAATATTAATAAGTAAATATTTCTTTAAAAATGAAGTTACTTGTATTTTTTAATAATTTTTCAATTAAGAAAATTCGTAAATAAAAGTAATGGAAATTTTTTTTGTGTGTACATATCTAATAATTTTTAGAGTGAATCAGAATATTCTTTATGATCAGGAAAAAAGTCCAAATTCTTTCTAGAAATTAGAGAAAAACAAAATTAAACATTTGTGGCAACCCAGTTTTAGCAAGTATTGAAAAATTCAAAGTTATTTAAAAATGAAAAATCTTTTATTTTTATTCTCAAAAATTTTGAAATTTTATTAAGTAGAAATTTGTTTATACAATGCAACCAAAATAATATACCTCTTAAGGTAGTATTCTGGTCTGTTTTTCCGAGAAGGATAAAAAAGAAAGTTTAACACTTTTAGTATTTACTTTTGTTGCAAATTGTTTATTAATGTTTAAGGGGGAGTGACACCTTTGAGGCCTCTTTTGAACCTGCTTTTTATGAATTTATTTAAGACACGGGAATAAAGAAAACAAAATTTGATTTTAAGGGATTTATTTGTTAACTTTTTAAGTTTACAAAAATATATTTATACGTGAAAAAAGTTTAAATTTGTTGCCTATAGAGGGCGCCGGAGTTGGTCTCCTTTCTCTGCATAGAAAATCGGTGGGCAAGATTCCGGTTAGACCGTTTAATCTAAATCAAAAATTGAAAGTTTTTCTAAATCTGAGATAGATTTAGCTTTCATTGAGTACAGAGGATATTTCAAAAATATTAATTTTGGTGTATTTGGCAGTTTTTTGAAGTTAAAAGTCGATTTTTAGGGCGAAAATTTGTCAAAAAATCTGTTGCGAAAAAAACAAAGAAACCAAAAAAAAATCCGCTACGTACTCGAAAGCATTAGTAAATGACGATAAAAAAAAACTCTGTCCGAAGTCAATCCGATCAAAACTGTTCTAGCTAGACTGCCCACCGTTTTGAAAAACGTCATTTCGAGAAAAACGCGTTTGAAGTTTTGAAAGCACTTGAAGCGCTCTTGGACACCTTTTGCAGATTTTGATTTTTTTCGCATAAAATAACTTCGTAATCATCTCTAATGATATAATTTATATTCTACACTTTATAAAGTATCGTTTAAGCAAAAAAAAAATTCGATTTTTTTCGGCTCAAAGGTGTCACTCCCCCTTAAAGAATACAGAAAAAATTAGGGAAAAAAATTAAAATTTTTTTAAAGTTTTAAACTGGTGAAGTGGGACTGAAAAAAAGAAAGTGCGAACTGGTTGACAGTGTGGAGACTTTTGTAATGCTCTAAAACCAAAAACCCAAAGAAATTCTTGATTATTTCAGGCTTCGCAATGATCGGTACCTTGGAAAAGAGAAAAAAATATATTTTTCAAAATCCAAGGTTCCGATCATAAAGAGATATACAAAGAACATTTCTGCAAAATTTGAAGTAAATCGGTTGAGTAGATTTTGAGTTATTGTGTCAAACGGAATTTTTTTAGTTATAAACTTCAACAGTTTATAACTTTTAAAATTTTGTATTTTTTTTCTGTATTCTTTAAATATTAATAAACAATTTGGAAAAAAATTAATATTAAAAATATTAAACTTTCTTTTTTATCCTAATTTTTCAAAAAATTATTATAAAAATTATTACTAGGCATCAGGCTAAAATTAAAACATTTACTTTCTGAATTTGATTCATGTTCACATCAGAATTAAAGTCATGTTATTTAATGTGATATGTTTTTCTATAATAAAATATATCGGATACGTGAATAACATATCTTTAATGGGTTAAACACATATCATAATCATCCGAATTTTTTATTTTTAATCGTATTTGATTAAATAAATTACTTTGTTTTAATGGTTTAATTTTTGTGATTTTTGTGATTTGCATTTAATAAACCAAGTTTGTCATTGATAAGTATAAGTAATTAATTAATTGTGTAGAATCTTAAAAAATGTTTCCAATTGTTAAATGTGTTTAAGGTTCAACGATGTATGATTTAACTCCAATGTTTAAAAAATTTATGTTTACTATTAAATATAAGTGTGTATTTTTCGGTGTATATTTATTTCAGGATAATTAAAAGAACTAATTAAATAAAATGTGTTTTTAAATATTATTTATATCTAGTATTCGTTAATTTAATTAACTATACAACTAAATCTTTAAAAGTTTCATGACATCACTTTTTATTACAGTTTTATTATGCTGTTGGGAATATAATTTTTAAGCAAAATATTAAAATAGACTTTAAAAATAGAAATTATAAAAATTTAAAAACAGAAAAAAATTACAATAAGGTTAAAGGATTGCCTTTATTTTTAAAGAATTGACTTTACTACATTCTTATCCACAGAGAAACAGAAACTGAATTTTTTTATGTAATTAAGAAAAAAAACTTAAATTAAAGGGAAGGATAAAATGGAAAAGCAAAATTACACGTTACAAATTTTAAAGAAACTGTTATGTTGAATGAAAAAAGAAAAGTAATATAAATAAAGTTGCTCTTGCATCTTGAAACTGATTAGTGTCTTAGTGCAGGCATAAAGTTCAGGAACTAAAATCTAAACCGAAAGGAAGACGGTAGTACTTTCTTTCAATAGCGGAAGAAGAGCTCTCCTCTTCTTCTCAAATGAAAATAAAAGATATCAACATCATCAGTAGCATAAGATAATAAGCAGCAGTTTACTAAATACAATAATAGTGGCGTTATAAAAGCGTCGTCGTAAAGACGTTCTAGACATTGCCAGGGTATATGCACGGAGTATAAATAGTAATTCTCCGGGTGGGGATTGCTCCCTGGTGAAAATAGAAAAGAATGTTTTTGGAATCAAATTAGACTTCGTTGGCAGAATGATGGGGTAATATGGCCGACTTGGCTGAGCGGGTGGATGATCTGATATGCAGTTTTGATTCAACCAGTGAAACAACCATGGACACATTGTCGATGTTAATATTCGGCTGGATGCTGTTTGGACTTGTGGTTTTGTGTGTCGGAAAATACGTGTATAATCGTTTTGTTCTCCAGGAAACGGTGAAAAATAGTGCGACCCCAAAAGAGTTACATTCCACATTACATGTTGGTGAGAGTGTAGTGTTAATTGGTGCTGGTGCAGGAGCTGGTGCAGCTGGTAGATCGTTACCATGTGAGAAATTAACGAAGTCCTCAGGCACCGGTAGTGCAAGTGCAAGTATATCAGGTAGTGGTAGCTGCGGAATCTTTACCTCGGTGTCTTTAGCAAATTCAAATTCCATGGGCTATGTACCACCAACACCGCCAGTCAGAAAAAGACTCACGAGGAAAACTTCTGGTCCACTGATAAGCCCTGCAAGAAGTTCAAGGGCTCTTAATTTGCCAACAGCCACCGGCGCTGATTCTGATGCTGTCAGATGGGTCAACGAGCTTCTTGTCTGGTTGCATGCAGACTTTCAAACCGTCAACGAACTTCTTTCTGCATGGGTTGAGTCTCTTAATGTTTTCACTGCCAACTCTATTGAAGAGGTCAGTTTTAATCCAATTAGTATTATATTTTTAAATTTTTGCGATTCGAAAGCCACATATATTATCTTAAATTATTGTATTTGATTTCTATTATTTATTATTTTCCTTTTCTATCTGGTGTAGTTGATAGTTTTTAAAAATAAATTTCTCTTCTGGAATAATCATTATTTTATATTTAAAATCTTTAAGGGAAATTCATATAAAGTCAATGAAAATTTATTTAAAATTAAACATAAATTAAGATATTATATGAATTTAAAAACTTTTAATCTAACAAGACTTAAATTGTTATAATTATCATCTGTCATAATCATCAAATTTAATTTTATTGTTAAAGATTATTGCCGTCTATTCCGATTATATTTTTTACATAAAGTTTAATTTACCAAAAATTTTTTTTCCGAAGACATTCATCGAATGTTTTTTTACAGAATCCAATTTTCCGAATCTTTAAATTTTCAAAAACATTTGTATCGAATAGAAGGTAGTAAAATATCTGATTTATTCTATACAAATATAATAAAATTTTTTACCTTATACGTAAAGCAAAAAAAAATTTGTTAAAATTAATGAATTTTGTTTTGTATATGTGTTCAAATATTTTACAAAAGTGTTTTATGTATTTGACTAAATACTACTAAACGGATTTGTAAAATACTATGGAATATTATAAATTGTCTTGAAATTTCGATATATATTTGACGAAACATTATATTTTTCGAAATGTTTGAATTTTTCTCCAAGAAATAAGGGTTTTTTGACAGTTAGATAAAAGCAGAATCTATGCTAATAAACGGATTTGTAAAATACTCTGATTTTATTTATTTGGGTTGTAATCTCGATATATACAGGGTGATTGGAAACAACTAACAAAGTCAGAAGTTTCTGAAAGTGAAGAAAATTTTAAGATTGCCTTTTTTGTCTTTTTTCTGAAAATCAAATAGATTATAAATGGGAAGAAATTAAAAAATTAATTAATTCAGCCAATGAGAGAGCTGCCATTTTTTACGGGAGAAATATTATTTTGACAATCAACTTTGTTGCAATGCCAAGTTCAGTCTGTAAAAGTTTTGTTTGCTTATTTATGTGAAAAAACAAAAGCTACATATCTCTAATACAAAAAAGCGTAATAAAAAAGGAAAATTATTTGAAAACGTTGATTTGAGAAACAAAATCAAGATTCATTAATAATAACTAGAAAAAAAATATTGCCAATAAAAACAAAACTTACTATTAGTAAAAAAAATGTATAATTAGAGAAAATTTATTATTTGTTAAATGGTTTAAGCTATTAAAAAATTTGATATTAATTTAAAGTAAAAAGTAAGTAAGGTTAAAAATTGTTTAAATCTATTAACTTGACAAATTATTTTACGGGAATTTTCAAAATACTTTTTTACGGAAATTTAAATCAAAATTCTATTTTTAAGTTTTTCACTTCGAAATACAAATTAAAATTTCGCATTTTACAATTTTTTTAATTTCTCTTCAATTTGCGAAATTGTATAATATTCAGACTATTTTAACTAATATTTTTAATTTTGCATAAAAACCGATGTTTAAATTCAGACACAGGCAATTTTTTGTAATTTTTATACCTATTTACTAACAATTTAAAAATGAACAAATAATACATGAGAAAAGAAATAAAAAAAATTTTTTTTGTTACAATTTCTTTTTTTTAATTGAAAATTATTTATAACAATTAACTGTTAAATAATTTATTTCTATTTAAACAATTTATTGCAATAGAAACCTTAAACAATTTTTTAAAAATGGGAATTAATGAAAACTAATTAGATTCAAAAAATTCACGTAAACTGCTGCCATCAAACGGCGCGATTTTATAATTCAAGAAATTTTAATTTTTTTCTTTCTTTAAGAAATTGTATAACATTAAGAAATTTTTAACAAACATGTTTAAAGATGAAAATGTTTCTCATTTAAAAAGAGTCAATTATACGGGAGGTGGGAGCGAAACGGCGCATTTTTCTTTATTTTAAAATGTTTTTTAATTCCGATTATTCCCAATGGGAAATTGCCAATGGTCACCATTGGATAAATAATGAGCCCATATTGCTAGAGTCTTGGGATGATCACGACTTTGCCAAGCATTGACAGCCAATATTGTATCACTATTGACTCCCAAGCCAAGTGCCGGACTTTGCAAGCCTTGGTTATTCATTAAAATATTTAACGAAAAAATTAATATGATTTTTAATATTCATTTAATTTCACTCTTCTAATAGCTAAAAAAAATTAATCCTGAAATCAATCAGAGGATTGATTTCAGGATCAATATTTTTTAGACTGTCAAAACGAATTTCCCTTAAATAATAAATGACAAAAACGGCCAATATCCGTGGATTAATTTCAGGATCAATTTTTTGTTTGGTCTGTATAAATGAATTTCACATAAATATTCCATTACTGCAAAAGTTAACAACACTTGAGATGGCTCAGTGGCGACCATAACAGACTTGTAAATTTGAAGTCTGCGTTCGACCGGGTCGGTTGAAATTTTTTATTCAGTTTCTTTTTATTAAACTTTGCATTTAATTTTTCAGTGATAAAAATAATTATTTATTACCAAATAATTTGAAGTTATTTTTGTTAAATAATGTCATTAATTATTATTCAATTAATTTTAAATGATTCGTTAATGAACAATTAATTAATAATTAATAATATTAGTTAATTCTATTATTTTGCCATCTTATTATGTTAAAAAATTAATTTCAATAGTTTACTTTTGAATAAATAATTTTTTAATTCTCCATCAACAGCTGCCATGTCGTTACGCTTTTTATCATTACGGTATTGCAACATTAGCCCACGCTTTGCCCATGGTATTCCCACGGTTGACCCACGCTATGACCACAGAATTCCCAAGGTTGACCCACGCTTTGCCCACAGTATTCCCACGGTTAAACCACGCTATGCAACGGTTTATATTATTGTCTCAATTAATTATGTGTTGAGAAGAATTTTTAAAATTTTCGTGTAAGTCTCATAGGCCAACTCACAAAAATCCTTAAGTTACTAGAATTCAACGATTTTTCAGGTTATGATAAAGTAATCTTTGTGAAATAGTGCAAAAACTATTAAATTTTTATTACCAAGTATTATAAATTGAGTAAAAATAAAAATAACTTTTTAAATTGTCGTGTAAGTCTCACAGGCCAGCTTACAAAAATCCTTAAGTTACTAGAATTCAATGAGTTTTCAGGTTAGGATAAAGTAATCTTTGTGGAACAGTGCAAAAACTATTAAATTCTTAATAACAAGTATTTTAAATTGAGAAAATTCTGCAAATAAATTAATTTTTTTTAATTTGCGCGTAAGTCTCACAGGCCAGCTCACAAAAACCTTCCTTTACTAGAATTTAACGATTTTTTAGGTTAGGATAAAGTAATTTTTGTGTAACAGTGCAAAAAAGTATTAAATGTTCAATACCAAGTATTTTAAATTGAGAATATTCTGCAAATAAATTAATTTTTTTTAATTTGCGCGTAAGTCTCACAGGCCAGCTCACAAAAATCCTTATTAGAATAAAACTAGTTACTAGTTACTAGAAACTAGTTATTCTAGAAACTAGTTACTAGAATTCAACGATTTTCTAGGTTAGGATAAAGTAATTTTTGTGTAACAGTGCAAAAAAGTATTGAATGTTAAATACCAAGTATTTTAAATTGAGAGAATTCTGCAAATAAATTATTTATTTTTAATTTGCGCGTAAGTCGCACAGGCCAACTCACAAAAATCCTTAAGTTACAAGAATTCAACGATTTTTCAGGTAAGGATAAAGTAATATTTGTGGAACAGTGCAGAAACTATTGAATTTTCAATACCAAGTATTTTAAATTGAGAAAATTCTGCAAATAAATTAATTCTTTTTAATTTGCGCGTAAGTCTCACAGGCCAGCTCACAAAAACCTTCCTTTACTAGAATTTAACGATTTTTTAGGTTAGGATAAAGTAATTTTTGTGTAACAGTGCAAAAAAGTATTAAATGTTCAATACCAAGTATTTTAAATTGAGAATATTCTGCAAATAAATTAATTTTTTTTAATTTGCGCGTAAGTCTCACAGGCCAGCTCACAAAAATCCTTACTAGAATAAAACTAGTTACTAGTTACTAGAAACTAGTTATTCTAGAAACTAGTTACTAGAATTCAACGATTTTCTAGGTTAGGATAAAGTAATTTTTGTGTAACAGTGCAAAAAAGTATTGAATGTTAAATACCAAGTATTTTAAATTGGGAGAATTCTGCAAATAAATTATTTATTTTTAATTTGCGCGTAAGTCGCACAGGCCAACTCACAAAAATCCTTAAGTTACAAGAATTCAACGATTTTTCAGGTAAGGATAAAGTAATATTTGTGGAACAGTGCAGAAACTATTGAATTTTCAATACCAAGTATTTTAAATTGAGAATATTCTGCAAATAAATTAATTTTTTTTAATTTGCGCAAAGTCTCACAGGCCAGCTTACAAAAATCCTTAAGATACTTGAATTCAACGATTTTTCAGGGTAGGATAAAGTAATCTTTGTGGAACAGAGCAAAACCTATTAAATTTTGAATACCAAGTATTTTAAATTGAGAAAATTCTGCAAATAAATTATTTTTTTTAATTTGCGCGTAAGTCGCACAGACCAACTCACAAAAATCCTTAAGTTACTTGAATTCAACGATTTTTCAGGTTAGAATAAAGTAATTTTTGTGAATCAGTTTAAAAAAGTATTGATTCTTCAATACCAAGTATTTTAAATTGACTAAGTGGTAAAAATAAAAATAATTTTTTAAATTGTCGTGTAAATCTTATAGGCCAGCTTACAAAAATCCTTAATTTACTAGAATTCAACTATTTTTTAGGTTAGGATAAAGTAATTTTTGTGGAACAGTGCAAAAACTATTGAATTCTTAATACCAAGTATTTTTAATTGAGAAAATTCTGCAAATAAATTATTTTTTTTTAATTTGCGCGTAAGTCGCAC